GTGTGTGTGTGTGTGTGTGTGTGTGTGTGTGTGTGTGTGTGTGTGTGATGTGAAATGTAATCTACTCAAACTATTTCATGGAGTGATCTTTGTTCATTTTATAAGTTAAGAAAATGTAAGTTCTTGTAGTGATAAAATCAGTTCTTTATTCCTATTGCCTTTAAATAATTAACTTTAATTTTAATAGGACTTGCATGGAGCATAACAAGTTCAATGGTGTATCAGGTAGTGAAATTTTTGCATTTTTGATTCAAAGATAAATTTCGCTGATTCTCTTTATTACCTCCCTTCCAGGGATTTTACTGGTTGAAAATCGCGATATTTTCATTTCCTACCTGCCTGCCTCTGTTGTGAAAAATTAGTTGACATATATTATGTTTTAGAAACATCTTACAGATGGAATAAGCCCGATATTACGCATTTGATTGAAGCGTCCTCAAGGAATCGCATGTGCCAATTGATTTTGCGTCATGTACATAAGAGGACCTTGAAATGCGTTAATGATATTCTTAATACTAACCCAATTATCAGAGGCCTAGTGCAGGGACTGAAATATGAACACTTTCAGGGTACTCTGCTTAAGTACGAACAGAAAGCCATTTTGGATATTGTTACGTGGGAGGTCTTCTGGTGCGATTTTATCTGTGGACTGCTTGAAGATTTCGATCCCAATATCAAGGAAACAATAAAGTGCTTCGTCTCAGGCATGTCTTATGAAGCATATTGCATCGAGTTGAGTAGATTTGTAGCGGAAATAGAAGCAAGAACGAATGCCGACTTTGTTCGAGATTTAAAAGATATCGCTATAATGTCTTTTGATACGGTGGGAAAGTAATTTTATTTTCTAGAATTTTATGGTTGAAAATACTTTTATATAAATAAATGGATGGTTTTTAAAAATTGCTTATATTTTTATTTTTATCAAATGGCAGGCGTCTTTGATGGTTATCATTAGCCCTTTAGTTGACTTCAGGCTTCACAGAGGGGAGGGAACATCAAATTGAAAAATAGTCGGGAGGGGGTGGGGACAGAAGAGTGTTTCAAAGATGTAAGAGACAAATACAAAGGCCGAAAAAAGGTGAGGTGAGTACTGTGAAAATAGTCGAATATGGCATAGAGTGAGGGGATGGTAGTTTGAATTGAAAAGTCAACTGCCAGTTAATAAACTTTTTTGCTGTATGAATATACGTTGCCCAGGGTGCACCACGTTGAGGTAAGTCTATCGCACACCCTTTATCCACAATGTACTTTCTGAATAAACGTATTCCGTGCTATGCGTCTGTTTCCTCTTTAGCTGAACTATAGCTTATCTAGTTCTGGGAGTCTAGCTAGATGCAGGAGAATCTGCCACAGAGATTTCTGAGTCAGTCAGGCTTTAATAGTGTAACAATCAGCTACAAAGTAGAATTACAATTGACATTCTGTTTAAAAAGGCAATGAATCTAAATATAATTTGGCAATTTAATTACTAACAATAAAACGCTATCACGTATAATGTTTGAGTAAAGTTTAATCAGCTTTAAAATTTTGAGTAAACAATTTTCCGGCTTAAAAATTATATGACCAATCGAGGTGAGTACACTTAACAACGCAACTTAATCAGTGTGAAGTCAATATAA